GAGAGAGAGAGAGAGAGGGAGAGAGAGAGAGAAAGAGAGAGAGAGAAGAGGAGAATAAGAAGAGAGGGTGGCTGGAGGAGGAAAAAGAAGACGTGGAAAAAGAACATGAGGATGAGGGAGGAGATGGAAACATGTAGGCCCACCATGACCATAGACTTGAACCTCTGGTCTCCCTACTGCCTCGTGATACTCTCCCCAGCAAAGCATAAAATAAAACAGAATATTAATCAGTTGTTTTAGTAACAGTTTTGCGGCACTTGCAACCCAATTTGGTTAAATAAGTGCTGAGGATTAGAAGTGTTACTACAGTGTAAGATGTAAACGAAAGGAGGAGAGATAGGCCCGATAGATGTCTGACAGAAAAGAAGGAGCAAATCACACCAAAACACACGTCAATCACCCACAAATAGACTATTACATTTCTCGCCTTCTTTAAGGTTTTACGGGGCTCGCAAACTGCATATACAAAGGCTGCTTCTACTAACAAGGTACTCCGAAATAGCAATTCACAAGAGAGTGACAAACATACAAAATAAGTAGAAGAAAAATGACGATGGTAAGGATGAGGAAAGAAAAAGCAGCAGTTTCTCGCTTTCTGGTAGCGAAGGTGAATACAATCTTAGCATTGAAAGATAACGGCCGTTTCGCGCAAGAAAAAGGCAAGACTGATACACAGAAGAGGAGTGATTAAGTAAGAACTACAAGTAACACCCTCCAGCCACCCGAACTATAATTACATGTACATGTACACGCAACACCTGGAGGGACAGAACACACGGCGGCGCAACAAAGTCGAGAACATCGATCCGATTCTCTCCTTGCATAAACTACAATTGCAATTTTCTCGCACATGCTGGCATAATTAGAGACATACACCAACATGACATAAAACACAGACCACCAACACAGCGCTTTGAATTGTTTTCAAAGGATTCATGCCTACCTGCCACTATTCTCTTCAGCCACCACAAGCATAATATTCACCTGTCTTTAGATCAACACGGCACACGAACAGACAGAGTACTTACATCTGTCGTGGTGGTGGTGGTGTGTGTGTGGG